CCGGAATTATCTTCATTCTTTCTTTTTTCGGTCCGTCCCAAATTTATCACCTTTTTCCCTTTTTGGTAAAGAATATGTGATTCACAATCATTCTTACACATTTCTTTCTCCTCTGCGTAACTCTCCACTACACAAATCACACTATCTTAAAACTCGTGCCCGATCAAAACCGAAATTAAATATGGGACGGAGGGAGTACTGCCTATTAAACATCACCGGAACACCTACATTGATGAAGAGATTGAAGCATACTCCGTATAATGGTGAAGCAGCTGCAGCATCATTTATTTTATTTTATTTTATTATTTTATTTTATTTTATTATGTTTCATTGTCAAATTAAATTGACTTTCATAATTATTATGGACAGACATGTTAGTGATTTACCGCAAATTATATGGTGCAACCGGCGCACCATGAGCATGGTGCGTCCGGTTGCAAAACGACGTAGGATTGTTTGTTTCTTTTCTTTCTTTTTTTGCTTTTGTTTTTAAAAAATGGTTATAACTTTTTTATTTTTGATCCGATTTTTATAAAATTTATATCAACATTTTTTATTTTTAATGATCTTTCAAATGAGACCAATATTGCTTATGTAATTTTAAAAACTTATCGAACTATTATATTAATGGTATTGGATTATAAGGAAAATCGAACTAAATTTAATTTAGAAAAATAATTGTGTAAATCACAATTTATCTTAATATTGTGTATATAAAAAATTTATTGTATTATGTATTTATACATGTGAGTTACATATTTTTATACGCGAAGTTACATATTTTTACACGTAAAGTTACATATTTCTACACGCAAGTTACATATATATACACACGAGTTGCATATGAATTGCAGGGAGATGATAGGTTTGTGAAATAGAAGATCGAATTTGTTTGGGAGTGGATCAGTGACCTCAGTTACATTGAGTTACATCTTTTTATGAGCGAGTTACATCTTTTTATAAGCAAGTTACATATTTATACATGCGAGTTACATATTTATACACACGAGTTACATTTGACCTGTCTGAACGCGAGTTACATATTTTTACACGTAAAGTTACATATTTTTACACACAGAGTTACATATTTATACAAACGAGTTGCATTTGGCCTGACTAGACATGAGTTACATATTTTTACACGTAAAATTACATATTTTACATAGGTTAATATAATAGTTCGACAATATGTTAAAATTACATAGGCAATATTGGTCTCATTTGAAAGATCATGAAAAATAAAAAATGTTGATATAAATTTTATAAAAATCGGATCAAAAATTAAAAAGTTATTACCATTTTTTAAAAAAAGTTTTGGGAGTGGGTGTACGGTGCTCATGCTGGGATGGTCGTACGGTATACGAACTCGTGATTTACTTATTTATCTAAAGGGAATTTCCTAAAATAGAAGTAAAAAGGATGTAGAATTCTAGTATTACATTTTGCTCTAAATAAAAGTAAACCGTTTTCATCATGAAACATATTCCTATTTTGATATTATCAGACATCAATATGATAATATTAATTTCAAAATAGGCAATACTTTCCCAATATGACAGTAACTACTCATATTTAAAGAAAAAAAAAGCATTGATTTATTATAATGTTTTTATTGAACTAAAATTTTCTGGTCTGATCTGATCTAGTATGTTAAATGTATGGTCTATATGTGTATTTTACTTCAACTTTGCTTAATGTTTTCGGTGTAGGAATTGAAGTACCCTACAAAAATCTTGTTTGGGGGGGAGGGGTCTTGAAGATGATATCTCATTCATTTCAAAACACTTATGTGCAAGTAAATACTCCCAAAGTCACCCAATTATATTTGGCTGAGAGTAGATGATACTCCCTCAGCTCCGTCCCCCAATTAAGTTATCACTTTTCTTTTCGGGCAGTCCCTAAATTAAGTTCACACTTCTTTACTTTTCTTATTTGGCAAATTATCGACATCAAAACAGTGTCAAACTGTGCAAAACAGTGCCAAACAATGTTTGAAGAGTGCAAAACAGTGCACTCCACAATAAAGTCAAATTTATTTTCTTAATACGTGTGAAGTCAAACCGGGAACTTAATTGGGGGACGGAGGGAGTAATAAACTCCATAACCAACCATTCCAACTCACTAGATGAGAGGTTACCGTGTCCTAGCGGAAGTCTCGGGATTCGAATCCTGCTAGGCATATTTAGGGGAGAGGAGGGAGGTCTTGCTTTCAATGATTCTTCCTACCTACACGGGGTTGCACAGTGGCGAAGAGAGCGGATGGAAATTCAGGTCGCGAGTTCGCGTGGTGGGAGGACCCTTGTGGACTCAGTTGAAAGGAAGCCCTGCAAAAAGTAGGAGGACTGACCGGGCTAAACTTGCAAGTGTACAAGTGCCGATATAGTAATAAATTCCGGTAAAATACCGGGTCGAATCCACAAGGAAACGTTGTTTAATTCAAGTCCGAGAGTAGATAACTTTAAATGAAGAATTGAATAAAGTGCAGGGATTTTGATTTGTGTTTTATATTTTTGGGTTTTTCACTTTTTGTTCAACAAGATAATTGTTAACTAACTTTGAGTTCAAGATAAATGATAACAACAACTAAGGCTTCGGGAATCACTTAAATGCTTAAATAGGGTTGAATATTAGTTCTTTGTCAATAATTATGAATACGATGTCGCTAATATTTGTCAATATACGAGAGTGTGGTTTTCGTTACGTGTAAGTCCCTTTACGGCTTACATTCATCTACCGAAAACCCCGTTGAATATCAAGACATCACACCCGTATCATATAAGACCGGATATATTTCTATTCTCGGTACTATATATGTTTATCCTTTAGTGTTCATAGTTAAGACTTCAACGTTAATTGCAAGTATAAACTAAATTTAACATACTTCTATGTTGTACATCATAGTCATAAACAATCAATATATAAAGGATAAATCACAATTTATTGGTTTAGAACTTTTATCAAACACCTAGTGGGCATAGAAGTTCATCCCTAGCCTTAGCTAAGAAATTAGCCTCTAATGCTCATATTAATCACAATACAATAATAAATGTAATGGAACATGAAATTAAAAAGGAAATAATACCTAAACACCAATGATTTCGGAGGATGAACTTCCCTCCTCAAGAACTTGAAGAAAATACCAAGAACAAAAATATAAAAGCTAAGAATTAATCTATGGAATGGAATGTGTTTGCATGATGAATTGAGGGCTTTATATAGGCTAAAGAATGACATCTTTTAGTCTATTCGAACCCAACAATCAGGTGTGGAGCAATATTTGATCAAGAAATGAGGAAGATGACCTTTTCCCATCAAAAATCCTCTTGCACGTTGGCCTGTTTTGTGCAGAAATCGCCCCAACCGGCCCCGGTTGTGTCCCGACCGGCGCCGGTTCAAAACAGGCTCTATTATGGTCGAAAAATAACACCTGACCGGCGCCGGTTGTGGATGACCGGCGCCGGTTGCTGCGCCAAAAAGTGTACTCCTTTCTCTTTCCCTTTTATGGATCAAAAAGTGTTGGTTTTTGTACCAGGATTTTGGGGATGTTCCGCTACGAATTTGGACATCATTCCTTCACCAAAGTTGTAGGTAATGAAGTCTTCTATCCAATAAAACTTGAATGACGTGATTTTATTCATCCAATCAACAGATATGGATAAAACACTGAGAGGTATGCATCCTGAAATCCCACCAGCAACATCTGAATTTATCGGTTGATTGAGTCTTGTTCCTTCCATATCCTGGCCATGACGTCTTCATAACATTTGTACCTTATTGAGTTAACATTCACATTAAATTCGAATCGAGTGATTTCGAGTTCTATACAATAAGTTATACTCGAATTATGGGCAGAACGTCATCCTCTTGGTCCAAAAAGCTCTTCATCGCAATGGTTTATGCTCTAACTCTCATTCTCAAGATATTTTCCCAATTTCTCTTCTTTTCTTCAACAAATGCTTATAAATACTTATGCTAAACACAAGTAAATATAACTGCTATCAAGGACCCTTCTGGATTCAGTTGAAAGGAAGTCCTGCGGAATTCGTCCTGTGGTACCAGTACTGACGAAGGCTGACTGTGATAACATCCGGATTTGACTGTCTAGAGGTTTTGGAGGGTAGTCAATAGACTTCAGGATTAGGGAAGCGCAAGCACCGACACCTGGATTATAAAAAAAGATAGTAAACTCCATCAAATATATATCTAGCAAAATTTTGGAATAATACTTTTATTTCTACTATTGAGGGAAATTTCTAATAATTTAATTGGTCATGGTAAGATGTTTAATCTTCACAATATTTAAAATGATGAAGGGGCATATATAACCCAATATGTCTATGGATCATTTCAATATTTCTATAACTAATTAAAATCATGCCTAAAATTATATGGAGTAAAAAATGAACTATAATCGTTCATTCTACAAAAATGCATTGCAACGTTTTTACATTACAAGAGTGATATACTTTCCTCTTTATGAGTAATTTCAAACATTATTTATTAAAAAAGTATTATGGGTATTATATTGATACTCAAAATACTCAATAAGAAAGGTTCATTTGACATGCACCGTATATTATTTGTATTCTCTCTGTCCCTTAAAACTTTGTCATGTTTGAATTTTTTGGTCAACCAAATTCAATTTTGACCAATTATATATTTTTATAGGAAGTTATTTATAATACTCCGTATAATAATGATACAAACATATTCTTTTTTAAAAGTACTTTCAAATAAGTATAAAATTATAACTCGCCAAATATTATACTAATCAGATCATGGTCTAAATTTACCACCACTGACTTGAAAAGTCAAAAATGACAAAAGAAGTTGCATAAGAAGTACTAGTACTTGATAACCATGATGTCTGTGAAACAAATTTTAAGTAAAATTTTACATGTTCACAATGTCTAAGCCCCAATTTTCGATTAGACAATTCTTCAACCGTTTATGGTTTACATTTGATAGCTATAAATAGCCCCATGTTTTTCATTTCCCTCACAATTCCTAAGCAAGAATAAGCCTTAGCTTCCATCTCGTACGTGCTACATCTCAAATATTGTCCAATTATATGGTCCATATTATGCCGCTAAAAGTAGCTTTAGCCATTATAGTTGTAGTCTTAGCTGCTTCTCCATTGGCGTGTGCATCAGATCCCGACAAGTTGCAGGACTTTTGTGTGGCTGTCAAGGATTCTGAGGCTAGTGGTAAACATTTAATCAACAACTTTTGTTGTTCTCTTTTTCTAAAAGCTTTTACATAAAGTTTTCGTTATTTAAACATCTAAAAAATTCATTGTCCTACACATATCTTATTTACCCTCGCTACCTATCTTTTTTGTTAACTTCTTTCACGACACGTCGCAAGGGTGAGGAAAATTAGGATAATCTTATTTAGGGAATTAAGTTTGATTTTAGTCTAGGACAATTACTAAAACTAAAATAATACTTTCACGCCCTCACACAGATGATTCAAACAGAACAAACTAGTTTAACACTCGGGGCATGCCTCGGTCAAAAGTTTGGTGTATGAATTTGTGGTTATATTATTTGTTATGTGCTAGTTGTTGCAATAGTTATGGAGTATTAATTTTTTTTATATATAAGGCTCATTATATGATGAGGGACTATGAGAAGAAGTGTTGAGTTGGAAATGATAGTATGTGGAGTTTACATTATTTTGGATAATCATATGTATTATTGGTGGTGTACAATTATAGTCCCGTTCAGTTGAACTAAAGTTCCATTATTTATAAAACTTGGTCGGGCATTAGAGTCTCACTCAAATATGTAAGATTAACTTGGTCGGGCATTAGAGTCCTATTTTAGCTTATCTGCCAACTTTTTCAGATCACAAAACACGTAACTTTTTATTTTGAACGTTGAATTGCGTCATAATCAAAATGAGTAAGGTTATTTTTTTGAAAGAAAAATAAGTCAAGTTATAGTTACTTTTATTTCACGTTAAAAATGTGTACTATTATTTGGTTGAGATATGAAAATGAGAACTCAAAAATATTTATGAATATTTGATTTATTGTAGTTTACAAAATAAATCAAAATATTAATGTGTTAAGTAGCATTCATAAACTTTAGGAGATTTTTTGAAAAATATTCTGAAATTGAACTTATTTATACAAATATGACTAATAGTTAGTGTATACTATAATCCTATAGTCACTGAGTGTAAAAATTAACATAAGACACTCAAGTTACACTTGAGTGACTATAGAACTACATACTCCGTATGTGATAGTTGCCATATTTTTGTAAATAAATTTCATTTCAGTATTATTTTTGAACAAATCTCATGTAAACTAAGGAATAATTATATATTTATGACTAAAATATAGATTGTTTATAAAATGTGAGATCTTAAGTTTAGCGATTCACTATAGTAGTAACTTGGTCAAAGTAACTTCTATTAATTTTTACACTTAAGTGATCATGACACTATGCTAGCTATTGTAACTATTGGTCATATTTTTTGTAAATACGTTTTATTTCATTTTTTAAAAAAATAAACTATTTTAGATTAAAACTAAGAATTTAAATTTGACATACTTTGCTATAAAGCAAACTAAGAATTTAACTATTTTACATTCTCAATGCATGAGCTTCTTTGTTTCAAGTATCCACACGGTCAATGGATCTTGATGTTTTGAACCGTGCAATATAGCTTAACAAATAGGAGTATACCTTTGTCAATATAATTACATTCTTTCAATTTAAATCATGATGGTAAGAACAAAATTATATGGTCATGTGTTAATTTTTTTAATTAAATTACGTTGACATACCCATGCAGTGTTTGTGAATGGAAAGATTTGCAAGGACATAACAAAAGTAAGCGTTGACGATTTCTACTTGCAAGCCCGATTTAACATCCCATGAAACACATCAAACCGATTAGGCTATGGACCAACACTAATAGCAATTGAAAGCCTGGCAGAACACGATGGGTGTTTCAATAGAGCGTGATGACTTTGGACCCTACAGAGTGAGCACTCCCCACTTCCATCCTCTAGCAACCGAGGTCGTCACGGTGTTAGAGGGAACGGTATATGTTGGATTCATTGACTCGAGGAACAAATTGTATGACAAGACGCTTCTTCCTGGAGACATTTTTGTCTTGCCGAAAGGACTCATTCATTTTTTGTACAACACTGGAGATCGCAATGCAGCTGTGTTTGCTGCTTTTGGCAGCCAAAACCCAGCATCCATCCATTTACCCAACAATATTTTTGGCAGCGATCCTCCCATTCTTCCTGAGATTCTTAGCAAAGCTTTTCTATTAGACAAGAATGTGATTAGTCGTATCCAATCACAGATTCGGTCAGAATTATCAGAGTGAGACCAGCATGTTCTCATGCACGCATGCAGCCAATCCGAGAGAAGCTAGTGGTTATTATCATTAATTAATTATGCATGCATGCCCAATCTCAATATTTATACTCTGCAATACCTATATTAATTAAATAAATCTCTCTCTCAAAATAAATGATCGGGACATCTACGAAACATTCGTCAATTCTGAGGTAAACATCCCACTCTTCAAACTGATCAAAAGTGTTCCCCGTTATGCAAAGTTCTTAAAGGAACTATGCACAATGAAAAAGAAAAATAAACTGGAAGGAAAACAAAAAGTTGAAGTGAGTGAACGTGTCTCGACCATTTTTAAAAAGAAACTCCCTGAGAAATGTAGCGATCCAGGCATGTTCATTATTCCTTGCAAAATAGGGGATACCTTATTTTCTAAGGCCTTGTTGGATTTAGGAGCGTCAATAAATGTCATTCCTTTTTCCTTATATAAATCCTTACAACTCGGCCCACTACATCAAACTGGTGTAGTGATTCAACTAGCGGTTCGGTCTAATACTTACCCGAAGGGTGTAGTAGAAGATGTGCTAGTAGAAGTAGAAAATTTGATTTTTCCTGTTGATTTTTATGTTCTGGAAATGGGAGATGATAATCAAACTACACCCATCCTCTTGGGTAGGCCTTTTCTGAAAACCGCAAAAACAAAAATAGACGTGTCTAATGGTTCATTAACTTTAGAGTTTGATGATCAAAAGGTAGAATTCAACATTTTTGATTCTACGAAAAAACAAATTAAAGACCAATCTCTTTGTGCTCTAAATGTTTGTGAACCACAAACCCCGAATATTTTTGTTGAGAAAAAAAAATGAGAAAATCAAACTTTTTGAAAAAGAAGAATTATTCAAATTTTCAAAAAGAGAATGGATCCCACCCGGGATTAAAGTGATACCAGAAAAGAAATCCCGACCTTACTGGAGAAGGCCGAAAAAGAAAAATATAACAAGGGATGTTCACGATCCCACATAAAGGAAAAATAAATATATAACGTCGTGCCGCGACATTAAATCAAGCGCTTCTTGGGAGACAACCCAATTTCTTCATTTTTTTTATTTTTTTAGTGTGTGTTTTTAAAAAATAAAATAAAATAAAATAAAATAAAAAAATGAACTGGGATTGGACCCGGCCGGGTAAATACCCTAACCCGGTCGGGTCACTTCTATAAACTAAACACCCGGGCAACCACCCGGCCGGGCAACCCAGCCAAATCTTTCTGCCTCGGGTGAACAAGTTACACCCGACCGGGTACACCACTTTACCCGGCCGGGCTACCGAACACAAAACATTCTGCCTGGGCAAATAGCGTTCACCCGACCGGGTAAACTACCCTACCCGACCGGGTGAACGGGAAATCACAGAATAACAGGTCGGGCTCACCCCCTTCCCCTCCCACTTCTTCTTCCTCCCCACGAAAAATTCCCCAAACTCCTCCATTTTTACACACCAAAATCTTCGATTCTACACCATTTCTCCACCAAATCCACTAAATAACACCATAATCTTCATCTCCTCAACCTTGTCAACACACCCATACCCATAAAATCCCATTTTCTTCCCCATTTGCAAAAATCCGAAACCCTAACCCCCAATACCCCAAAGTTCCGATTTTTCTACAAAAAATCCCAAGAAATCCAAATTTCTTCTCCTAATAATCATCCTCTCCACTCTCACAACCCCAAAATACCCAAGACCCACCAAAATCCCAAAGTTCCAAACCCCACCCTACCCAAGTCCGAAAATCACAAAAAAAAAATCCAAAAAAAAAAAAAATTTGAACTTCAATGGCTCCAAGAAAGTCAAAAGCCTCTTCCTCAAGGGGAAATCGAGCTATCCCACCGGTAGCGGGCTATGAGAGCGTGGAGTTTGCTACGGAGGCTCAACGGAACAACTTCATCAACCAATCAAAAAGGGAGGTAAAGCAATCCCGTTTTATGTGCTTAACTACTTTAGCGCTACTATGGATTGATACTGTGATGCGTGACATATTTGCAAGAATTGGAATATCTAGAATGTTTGAAATGCATTATGTGACATATCCTCATTTGGGGTATGAATTTTTTAGCTCATTTGCGTATACAAAAGATGTGAATGATCATGCAAATGACATAATCACCTTTCGTTTACTAAATGAGGATCGTTCATTAACCAAACGAGAATTTGTTCAACATTTTGGTCTCCCATGGTTTGATGAAGCACGTACATATGATTCTCTTGTGGGGTATGAATTGCGGAGAAGAATGACCGGAAAGAATGTGGTTGATCTATCTAAACTGAGTGTGAATCGTGTGCAACATCCGGTCTTCCGACTATTCTTAAAATTTTGCTCAAATTGTTTCCTCGGAAGACCGAATAATCATCACACACGTATCTGGGATGTGTGTGTTCTAGCACAAGCTGTTTTGCCGGGTCCAAATCAAGTTGATGTTGCCACCATCTTATGGACTCATTTCAACAACGTGGCAACATCAACATGACCAATTGCTATGGGGGGCCTCATCACACATCTAGCCACTTTATATGGTTTTATAGACCCCGGCCCCATCACCTCAAGACACCTTATTTGCACTGAATGGCTTTTACAAAAGACGCTAGACTTGGTCCCCTCGCACACAACACCAACTGGGGCACACATCTATAATTGGCGCATTCTCCCACACACTTCCATCTACCTCCAGATACCCTCAGCCGACGTCCCCCTGGATATCATCAATCACCAAATCGGGGATGGTCATCACTATTGTCTTCCCGGGGCAATCCCGGATCATTATGAAGAACCCATCCACGATGACGATGATGAAGAACCCCCAATCATACCCGAACAACCACAACCTCAAGCATTCCACTACACACCTTTCGAGCAACAAATGCTCGATAACATGGTCACGCTCAACCAGAGCATTGTGAGGATGGAGGAGCAGCGGCAAGCAGACTGGCGTAGGTATGAGGAAGACAGACGGAGATCTGAGGAGGATCAACGTAGAACCTTTGGTCCGATATACTCATATATAGCACACCAGGGCTCCTTTTCCTCTATGACCACTCCACCTCCTGCACCATCATGGTATGACCCCTCTCAGTGGGATTTCTTTGGAGGATCGAGCTTCGGTGGTGGAGGCTACGATGGTGGTTATGGCGGGGATCACATGGATGAGGACGGACACACGGTTGGAGGTCTAGGCGGACACTAGGGACAGTGTCAGATCCTAAGTGTGGGGGTGAAGAGATCTTCCCGGTATGTTCACATTCACACTCTTTATTCTTGTTATCTCAAAAAAAAAAACGAAAGCTTGTTGAGTTGAAAACCCACAAAGGGCAGCTTAAGCAAAAATAAAGCAAAAATAAGAGTGAGTTTGTGAGATTTGAGAAAAAATAAAAAAAAATAAAAATAAAAATAAAAAAATGTGGGAAGCTGGGTTGAAAACCTGAAAGGGCACCTAGGCAAAATGAGAGAATGAGAGAAAGTTATTTCTTTTGATTTTGCAGGATCCTGAGGGCGATTACTATTGAGAGTTCGGATTAAAATTGAAGACCCATCTTTACTCTTTTTGTTTTGGAGATACTTTATGTATTTGTTATAAACACTTGTGGATGTTGGTGTTGCTACTCTTGTCATTTAGGACTTCTTGGATTTGATTTGATTTACTCGAGACGAGTAAAGGTTTAAGTGTGGGGGTGTTTGATGCACACTAATTAGTAGTGCATAATTACATGTTTTTATGTTTGATTTATGTTAATTGTTTGACGTTTTATTTAGTTTTTAAACATTTATGTGATTTCAATTGTAATTGTATCTTAGTCTTTATTTGTCAGTTGTAAAGTTTAGTTAGGATTTGTGGTTTTGGAAAGGGAGACTTTGAAGTAAAGAAAAAGAAGATTTGGTTGCCCAGGAGCAAACACCCGACCGGGTATACTACCTCACCCGGCCGGGTAAGAAGTGAAAAACGAAAATGCAAAGAAAGTGCATGGCCCGGTCGGGCCCACTACCTCACCTAGTCGGGTGAGAAGTGACCGGGGACAACCCGGTGTGCAAAGATCACCCGAACGTGAAGAATATCCAATTTTTGCACTCACCCGGTCGGGTCCCCTACCCCACCCGGTCGGGTCTGACTTGACCCGGACACTTTAACATGCTAAAGATCGCCAGAACGTGGAGGATATTTGATTTTGACATGGACCCGGTCGGGTACCCGGCCAAAGGTGTTGAAAAACACCTATAAATAGCACACTTTTTGTTCACAAAGCCCGATTTAACATCCCACGAAACACATCAAACCGATTAGGCTATGGACCAACACTAATAGCAATTGAAAGCCTGGCTGGACTAAACATGATGGGTGTTTCAATAGGGCGTGATGACTTTGGACCGTACGGAGTGAGCACTCCCCACTTCCATCCTCTAGCAACCGAGGTCGTCACGGTGTTAGAGGGAACGGTATATGTTGGATTCATTGACTCGAGGAACAAATTGTGTGCCAAGATGCTTCTTCCCGGAGACATTTTTGTCTTGCCGAAAGGACTCATTCATTTCTTGTACAACACTGGACATCGCAATGCAGCTGTGTTTGCTGCTTTTGGCAGCCAAAACCCAGCATCCATCCATTTACCCAACGATATTTTTGGCAGCGATCCTCCCATTCTTCCTGAGATTCTTAGCAAAGCTTTTCTATTAGACAAGAATGTGATTAGTCGTATCCAATCACAGATTCAGTCAGAATTATCAGAGTGAGACCGGCATGTTCTCATGCATGCATGCAGCCAATCCGAGAGAAGCTAGTGGTTATTATAATTAATTAATTATGCATGCATGCCCAATCTCAATATTTATACTCTGTAATACCTATATTTATTAAATAAATCTCTCTCTCAAAATAAATGTAAGGGACGGAGCCAAGACATAGTATGAGTGGTGTCAAAGTAATATTATAATGAAAATTGTCTTAAACAAGAGTACGTGTAATAAATGTGAATTCGAAATTAGGAGTACTATATTTCCACCTATTATTATTGTGCTTAGAAAATACTGTCAATATGTCAATATAATGGTATTGCCTTATTAATGTCATGTAATGCCAAAATGTGTCATTAAAACTTTAAAATTACAATAATCTATTCCTGTTTTATGAAAATATATAGCACTGCTATTTTTGAATATTCCTTGTTTTTGCTCCTATTTAAGAAAATTTCTCAATACTACAAAATAATTGTATATAATATATAATGATAAAAATACGACTAAAAAGATAATAGATGAATGGTATTTTTAATGCATAGCGAGCATAGTAATAATTGTAATGACTAGCAGGGGCGGATTGGCAAGGGGGCCAGGGGGCCGGTGCCCCTGCTTCAGCGGTCCAGGTATAGGAAGGGGTAGGAGCGTAGGAAAGTAGGAGGGGTCGGTACATGGAGTTTTCCGACAAGGGTGAGCTGATTGAACGCCGTCTTTTGGTCTTTGAGGCTAGGAAGACGATGAAGTAGCGGGTGATTTTTTTAATTATAAGGGGAACAACGTCATTTGACGTCCCCCAGTTAATAAAAAATTAAATCAGCCCAGCTGCCTTAGTCCAATCGTGCCAAGCTCAGCAATCCAAACCTAGCAAACAAAGCCCTAAAATTACCTTTGAAGACTGAAGCCCTGAAACTCTCACTTTAGTCATCGAGAAGCAGCACCAGCGCAATGCTAGATGTAGCTAAAGTCCCGAAAGTCAGATTTACACCTTTGAAGGCTACCCAAAGAAAATGGTTACACCTTTGTAGCGGAAATCAATCGAGTAATCTGTTTATTTATCCAAAGAAAATGATTTCGAGTTTGCATGGTCGAATCGTTGATTGCAAAATTGATACAATAAAATGGGGTAGGTCACTAGTATAGTTTGCTACCCAGGATTCTGCTATTTGATGGAATAAAATATAAAAAAAATGAATGTGTAAATTAGTTATTGATTTAATGTGTATTAATGTTTAATGTATTATACTACGATGAAAGTAAATATGTAATTATTAAAAATGAATGTATTAAAAACAAAATTGTTAAAATTCGATTAACTTATGAAGCTATAAAATAGTTAAAAGTTGATTACCTTATGACTTTACTTTATGAATAAATTTAATACTATGTATGTATTAAACTATACAAGTTTGAACTATTTTTTTTTGTTTTTCACTAATTATTATAACTTTATTAGGGAATGTTAACTGAAGTCATTTTCGAAACATGAGAACATGTAACTTGCATTTAACACCATTACATTACCATTTTTGAGTGAATTTGTTATGCTTTATCCCTCTGATTTGTTACGATAATGTTATTATTAATTTGATGGTTTGCTGATTGTGCCCCTCCTTATATTAATTCCTTGTTCCGCCACATGACTCTGTTTAATTTTACAGTCTCGTTATCATGCCAATATAAATGATGCACACTAATTAGTAGTGCATAATTACATGTTTTTATGTTTGATTTATGTTAATTGTCTGACATTTTATTTAGTTTTTAAACATTTATGTGATTTCAGTTGTAATTGTATCTTAGTCTTTATTTGTCAGTTGTAAAGTTTAGTTAGGATTTGTGGTTTTGGAAAGGGAGACTTTGAAGTAAAGAAAAAGAAGATTTGGCTGCCCAGGAGCAAACACCCGACCGGGTATACTACCTCACCCGGCCGGGTAAGAAGTGAAAAACGAAAATGCAAAGAAAGTGCATGGCCCGGTCGGGCCCACTACCTCACCCGGTCGAGTCTGACTTGACCCGGACACTTTAACATGCTAAAGATCGCCAGAACGTGGAGGATATTTGATTTTGACATGGACCCGGTCGGGTGAGTACTTGACCCGGTCGGGTATCCGGCCAAAGGTGTTGAAAAACACCTATAAATAGCACACTTTTTCTTCACAAAAATCATCCCTTCTTCCATTCTCTTTAGCTCAGTTTAGAATAGCATTTCTTTATATTTTTCTAGCTATGTTTAGTCTCCAAATGAGGAGCTAAACTTCCATTCTTGGTGTTGCTCTTGAAGCTTGTTGATTATTAAAGTTGTGAGTTATTTTCTTAACTTCTTTCCTTGAATATTAATTAATAGTTCTTTCCTTAATATCATCTCTATATTAATGTTGGGGAGTGTTGCTAAGATGACAATTAGTTAACATCTCGACATTAGTTAGAATGATATTTTCTTCCTCTATATTAATATTGAGGAGTGTTGCTAAGATGACAATTAGTTAACATCTTTATATTAATTATAGTAGGATTCATCTTCATTAATAATATTCTTCCTTGAATATTAATTAATTCCTACTCTTATTTCATATTAATATTTTGAACATTACTTAAAGGATCAACTAGTTTTGTTTCATATATTAATTATTACTAGAAACGATCAACGAACCGATGGTTAATCGTTGATGGTTTCACAAGTAAGTAACTTCGGTTTATTAATGCACGGTCGTGGTTAATAAACTTAAGAGGGATTAATTTTGTTAGTTAAACCGAAACCGCTTGTGTTGATGTTATCAATCTCAATTGATTTCATCAAGGAGTTAGAAAGATTAAATGCTACTATTAAATCAGTATAAGGCGTTGTTCTATATTTGATTAATAGTAAGGGTTATTAATGAACGGTCGTTGTTAATAACTACCCTCGATGAAGTGGATATACTCCCCGATTGAGTATTCGAGAGGGAATAAGTTATAGATATGACAATGATCGACTAAAATATATCAACAAGTGGAAAGTAGCAATGCCAAGTCCTTTTTATCTTTGAATTAAACACATATAGATTGTTCATCTTAGTTCTTAATTAAATTAAATCACTCAATCCAAATCCCCCCTTTTACTAAGTATCATAAAAAGAGAAATATTCCTTTCCCTGTGGATACGAACTCTACTACGCTATACTATGTATAAGTGTTTAGTATTGAATTTATTTTGACGCACCGTGACAAAGTGCTCGTCAAATTTGGCGCCGTTGCCGGGGAAAGGCAATTAATTTTTCTTTTTATTTTATTTCAAAGAAAAAAAAAATTATATATAAAGATTTCTATTTTAGCTGAGCTTTGTTTGAGTATATGGTTAAACACCGATCTATAAACCAAATCACCCACCAAACAAAGCCCGAAACAGAACAAGCCTTCGAGAGGTTCAGGAATCTATTTCCGATAACTTCTTCGGAGGAATCATCAAGTGCTAGTTCTCATTCTAGCGAATCTGAAGAGTCCTTTCACATGACTCTTGAAACAAGAACGTTGAGGGAGCTGACGGCTCCGAATCTAAATCAACAACCCTTATGTATCACTTTTCCAACTCTTGATACGGGGGTCACATTCGAGCTAAAATCTGGGCTCATTCATCTACTTCCCTCTTTCCATGGCTTACGAGGGGAAGATCCAAATAAACACTTGTCGGAGTTCCATATTGTGTGCACAAGCATGTGCCCCAATGGCGTGTCCGAGGAGCAAATCAAGCTGAGAGCCTTCCCATTCACTCTCAAAGACACCACCAAAGATTGGTTATTTTATCTTCCCTCGGGGAGCATCAACACATGGGCTCAAATGAAAAAGAGCTTCCTTGACAGGTACTATCCCGCTTCTATCTCTTCAAGTCTCAAGAAGCAAATCAGCAACATTGAGCAAGCAGAAAATGAGACCTTGTATGAATATTGGGAGCGCTTTAAAAAATTATGTGCTAGTTGCCCATATCATGGATATTCAGAACAAGATCTCATTCTCTACTTCTATGATGGACTTGTTGATCAAGATAGACGCATGGTGAATGCGGCATGCGGAGGGGGTATTGTCAACAAAACCCCTTCTCAAGCAAGAGACCTCATTTCGGAGTTGGCCGAAAACTCGAGACATTACAACGGAAGGTCATCATCGAGACGAGTCATGGCAGCGGAATCCAACAATTCGTTGGAAAGTCAAGTAGCCGACTTGACTTCTTTGGTTAAAGATTTCCTTTTAAATCCAAAAACCCAAGAAGTCAAGGTCTGCGGCATCTGTTCAACGCAAGGGCATCCCACAGATTCTTGCCCGACACTACAAGAAGAGAACTCCGAGCAAGTCAATGCTTTGGGGTTCCAAGGTCAAAGGAGGTACGATCCTCAACGAAATACTTACAACCCGGGATGGAGGGATCATCCGAATTTAAGGTACGGAAATTCTCAAACAAATCCTCCCCCTCAACAATACAAACCCCAAGGCCAAACATCGAACTCGAGTATGTCCACCGAAGACATGATTCGAGCGCTGGCCGTTAATATGGGAACAATGCAGCAAAGCATGGGGCAATTCCAACAAACAATGATGCAATTCCAACATGAAACCAAGTCGAGCATTCAAAATTTGGAAACTCAAGTTAGCCAAATTTCAAATGCCGTAAGTCGACTTGAAGCAAAAGATTCGGGTAGGCTCCCCTCCAAAACTCGGTATATGTTGGGCCACGGAAGTGTAAATAGGTCGGCCCATCCCTAAGAGGCGGAATCCAACTAAACAAACGACCAACGAATCGGATAAGGATGGACTTAGTAGGAGTGCTCAACTGGATGACGGGACCTAGGGACTCGGCGACATTTCCGGCGGGCAGTTGCACTCAATGGATAGAGTTCTATTGCTGTATAAATAGAGAAAAACCTAGAGTAGAGGGACACGATCAACCTGGCTTGATAAAATAAGCATTTGTAACACCATTCCTTCAGAGATACATTGAGATTAATACATTTTCATTCATTAATCTTTCGGTTTTCATACTTTATTTCTTGTACGATCCCTACATACATATAAATTTAGAGTAGTTTAATTCTTGCTTAAACAATTTGGCGCCCACCGTGGGGCATTGTGCAAGGAAAGATCATCAACCATGACCGGAAACAGCCCTTTGTTAGAGGAAATCCACGCTCAAATGGAGGCAGTTCGAACGGAGTTTCGCCGGGAATTGGCGGAAAGGATGGCAC